TGTTTTGAGGACCTTTTTGCAATTTCTTTTTTGATGTTTTGAGTTGGAAAAACCTAATTTTAAGTACTCTTGGTAGCCTACCAGGCAGATCATCTTTGTTCTTGAAGAAAAACAATTGAAAAACCTTTGTTTACTTTTTTATTTCATCATCTACATGATTAAGCTTGAATCTAACATGGGTTTAAGAGTAATCATGATGTGTAGTGAGTAAATCACCTTTTGAATTCATGGGTTAGGGAGATTAAGGGTGATTAGGTTAGTTCTAGGTTGTTTTAGTGTAGATCATTCTTGTTCCTTGCTAGTAGAGTATTCATAATGCATCTTATGAGTTAACCACTCAAAAGTTGATCAATAGGCATTTCCCACCCAAAAGGTGTTCGATGAAATGTCTGAGACAACTCTCCTAAGCTTTTAGTATACTTTGCCAAATACATTTGTTGTTAAAGGTGCTAAGATAGCTAATAGACTTGTTAGTAATGATTGCTTTCATATTATTCAACCAAAGACATTTGATGTTTGAGATATGTTAGCAAATGAACATTCATCTAGACATAGAGCTTGTTTAGAATTGTGTCTAGTCTTAAGGTTGATAGTTTGATTGATCATTTGCCATCCTTAGTTCGAAACTTGATCACCCAAAATCTAATCCCTACTCCCATGAGTTCTCCTTTCTCTTAATCAAGGAAGTTATTTAGTTATCGCTTTTCTTATTCTTAGTTATAGTTTAAAACCATTATTTATTCGATTGCACTTAGATTAAATGAGTACTTGCATTCTCAGTGCTTTAAAATCCCTTAGAATTGGTTCGACAATCTCTTATACTACAACATTTGCCTTAGGAGCCTTGAAAACTCCTAACATCAATAACACAACTGTCAAATATAACATCTGAGCTTTCACACAGGTTAACATCACTATTTTCTGATGCAAATGACTTAAACATTCACATACATTCTCTCTTCTCCCTTTTAACACTCTAGCAACCAAAGCAGAGATGGGTTCTTTCACCAACTCCCACTAACACTACTCTACTAACTTTGCTTTGCTTAGTAGTGTACAAGCAACTTATACAACAACTACATCACCATTAAGTCTTTAAAGGAAAATAATAGAGGATAGAATATAGCTTTTTTTGTAAATGAAGATAAAATATAGTTGTATTGGAGATGCCATAAGAAACTAAAAAAAAAACTAAAAACCTATGAACAACTCACCATATAATTAAAGCCCTAGATGTAGATAAATGCAAGACTTTTGTTAGATGTCGTCCAAATTCCTTCAAATTCTGAATCTGTTCATCTATTTCGTCACTATATTTGTTTTCAAAACGTAAACAGTTTACTTTTTATAATTGCCCTTTTCTTCATCCCACTAGTAAATATGTTTCAGATACAGATATGAATACGATCATTCACCATATAATCACAAAAATTCAAATAAGCAAATTCAGGCAGATGAACGTTCATTCATTAGGAACACAGCCTTATTGAATTCTTTAATATTCCTATAAACTTTTTTTTCTGTACTCCGAATTAAATATAAACAGTCGTGACATCTTATGGGAAACAACATGTGTGTTGGCTTTGAATCGTGCCAGAACACACTAGATTAAAAAAAAAATTAATTAAGAAAAAAAAAACATTAGAAAATTAACTTTGATTAAAAGTTCAGCATACACCATCAGATTTCATCTTTTTAACCCAAAAAGAAAAGAAACTTTTCATTAAAAGCGAAAAAAGAAGACATTAAAAAAAAAAAGTAATGAAGAAAAAAATAATGACATCGTCGTCGTCGTTACTGTCACCGTCTTCTTCATCTCTCCGTAGAAAACGCCGTCTCACTCACTTCTTCTTCACCGTCCTCGCTTTCATCCTCCTCGCCGCCTTCATCTACTTCCACGATTTCCTCTCCTTCTCCCCTCGTTCCCTTCCCTCCCCAACGACGATCCTCCACCAAGTAAACCAGTCTCCTCCTCCTCCTCCTCCGCCGCCACCGACACCTTCTCCTCCTCCGCCTTCTCCTCCACCTCCAGCATTTGCGGTGGGGAGAACGCCTCAAGGATGCGATGTGTACAGAGGACATTGGGTCAAAGACAAGTCAACGCGGCCGTTATACAAAGAATCGGACTGTCCTTACATCCAACCGCAGCTCACGTGCCGCACGCATGGCCGTCTCGACGCAGACTACGATTCGTGGAGATGGCAGCCTGACTCCTGCTCTCTCCCCTCGTCAGTCTCCTCTCTCTCTCTCTCTCTAAGATTCCAATTATTATTATTAGTTTGTTTTGATCTCTTCAGATCTGTGGTTTGTTAGGTTTGATGCGAAGATGATGCTTGAGAATCTACGAGGGAAGAAGATGATGTTCGTTGGAGACTCCTTGAACAGAGGAATGTACGTTTCTCTCATCTGTCTTCTCCACTCACACATCCCTGAAAGTTCCAAATCCATGGAAACATTCGGTTCCCTCACCGTCTTCTCTCTCAAGGTAAAGGCATGATTAACCTCGGTCTCTTACCCGGATCTTAACTCATGATTTGATATTTTTAATTATTTTTTGTAACATTTTCGGCTAAGAGACGGCTCTTATATCTCTCAGATAGTTCTTAGCTTTTCTTAGTTAAAATCTAGAAAACGCTAAGAATGTCTCTTATCCGAAGCTAATAACACGTTAATGATGGTCTAACACTCTTTATAGTGGAAACGTTCTTGTTACGTTTACTGTTTTTTTTTTTTTTTTTGGTATGTGTAGGATTATAATGCAACGATTGAGTTTTATTGGGCACCGTTTCTTCTCGAATCCAATTCAGATAACGCTACTGTTCATAGAGTGTCAGATCGGATTGTGAGGAGAGGATCTATTAATAAACACGGTAGGCATTGGCGTGGTGCTGATGTTGTTGTGTTTAATACTTACTTGTGGTGGAGGACTGGTTTCAAGATGAAGATCTTGTATGTTAACTCTTAACTAAATCGTTAAATTAAAGAAACTTTTTTTGTTTAGAGACTAGTGGGTTTTGATTTTTTGATTTTGTTGATTTAAGGGAAGGTTCTTTTAAGGATGAGAAGAAGAGGATTGTTGAGATGGAGAGTGATGATGCTTATCGTATGGCGTTGAAGACTATGGTTAAATGGGTTAAGAAGAATATGGATCCTTTGAAGACTAGGGTGTTTTTTGCTACTATGTCCCCTACTCATTACAAGTCAGTAACTTCTTTTAAAACTTTTACTAGTCATCTAGAAATTAGCTTACAAGAGGATTTTAGACAGGAAAGTAGAAACTAGTTTAGATTTTGTCGCAAAGACATCTTTTGCTTGTCTCACTGGCAAGAAAATCGAGAAGTCAGTTAACAAAGCCTTCTTCAGTTAGATTAACTTAAAGAGGAATCTAGACAGGACTTGTGTTTTAGACATGGTCGGAAAGCAGAAACTAGATTAGATTTTGTCGCAAGAACATTCACTGGCAAGAAAATCAATAAGTCAGTTTAACAAAGCCTTGATTTTGAATACAAAGGTTTCATTCTTTTCTCTTCTTCCATGGTCATAGGAGCGAAGATTGGGGAGGTGAGCAAGGGAAGAACTGTTACAATCAAACGACACCGATTCAAGACATGGACCATTGGCCATCAGACTGCAGCAAAACGTTAATGAAAGTGATCGGAGAGGAACTAGACGGGAGAAAGGACTTTCCGGTGACGGTACTGAACATTACACAGCTCTCAGGGTATAGAAAAGACGCACACACGTCGATATACAAAAAGCAATGGAGCCCGTTGACGAAAGAGCAGCTAGCTAATCCGGTTAGTTACTCAGATTGTATACATTGGTGTTTGCCTGGTCTTCAAGATACTTGGAATGAGCTTCTCTTCGCTAAGTTATTTTATCCTTGATTCTTTTTTCTTTAATATTCGTGGTTTTATATTTGTACTTAGAACTGTAATTGTAACTTATGGTTCTTTCTTTTCTGTTAATTATGTAACACTTTTGTTATAGGAAGAGGGTGAAAGAGTTCCTCTCTGTTATCTTATATATTAAACTTCAACACTTATTGATCAGTAAAAACTAGAAAGTAAGTATATTTTTCAATGTGAAAACAAAACATTAACGCCCATTTTTTTGTTGCTATTATATGATCAAATCTGGAGATTCTAATGAAGTGTTGCAGAAGCTCTCATAGATCCAGAGAACTCGAGTCGAAGAACTCATGACTATGGTGTGGCTCCAGCTGAAAAGGAAGCGAGTCATAACCACCAGGGTGTACCTGGTTTTGGTTTTGGTTTTGGCACGGATCTTGACCGGTTAACTGGCTTGCATCCAAATCACCAAGGAGTTCATCAATATCAAAAGAATCCCAAAAACCCAGCTCGTTTTGCGTATCACTAGGCCAACCATAATCCGCAACATTAAGCATATCTGGCTGCAGCTGCAGCTGTATCACTTCTTCTTCTTCCTTTGGTTTCTCTAAACCCATAGATAGTCTGCTCCAATAATCCTCATTAAACTCATTCAGCCTTGTATTCGCATCATGTCCTTCGTTGACATATAAAGTCTCTGGTCTAGTTTTACAATCGGTATCCTCTTGCTTCACACAAACATCACCAACAAAAACAGCCTTATCCTCACCCCTACACACCTCACTCTGACTTGACGTACTAGTAAACTCAGACCCAACACTGTGTTGAGGAAAGTTAAGCCGAGCCAAAGGACCATACATAGCCATAGCAGCTTCATCATAAGCAGAAGCAGCTTCTTCAGCAGTAGGGAAGGTACCAAGCCAAAGCCTACTTACTTTATTAGGTTCCCGAATCTCAGCAACCCATTTACCCCAAACCCTTTGTCTAACACCTCTGAAACTTGAATGAGAGTTTTGTGGTCCACCTTTACCTTTCATACAACCTTTCTTAGACCCTTTAGCAGGAGCTTTCCGTTTTGGTTTCTCTCCTTGTTTTATAGAAGAAGCATTAACAAAGTCGTTGTACTCTTTCCACTTCTTTAGCCTATCAGCCACCGTTGTGCCGTCTGCTCTAGTTCTTGATTTCCTCTTTCTTGATATTGTTATTGTTTGGGTTTCTGTTTGATTGTAAACAGCCATCTTCTTCTTCTCCTTAAATCTACAAGAGACCAAAAAAAGCTTAGGGCTCAGAAAACTCTCAAAAGTAAAGGCTTCTAAAAACAGGAAGACGACCAAATCGGAGAGAATTTATAATTATTTAAAGACAAAAGGAACTACTTAGCCACCAAGGATGTTTTCCTTGGAGACCAAGTTTGTTTTTAGTCTTTTATTTATAGAAAAAGAAAGAGGAAAAGACGAAACTGAATTTCCAATTTTGTTTTAACACCGAATCGTGGGGACCAAGCTAGTGAACCATTGTAGTTAAAAAGCGTGTAGCAAAAAAAACACCTAAACCCTAGAAAACTAAATAGAAAATCAGACGTACTTATTGGGATTGATAACTTCAAAGTTCGTTCTTCAGTGGTTAACGATCGCTTTTCCTTTTAGATGCTGTTGTTCGTGTGTGACGATCGATTTGTAGTTTGTATATCTGCTTCGCGTTGGTTCTACTGTCTTTATTTTTTCTCTTTCAGATTTAAAGTTTTTTTAGAAAAGGGGGTCGAGGGGTATTTATAGAGCTTCTCTGGATAAATCCTGATTGTTTTATGAGAAGACTAGTCACATGTCCCAGATGTCGACACGTGACTCGATCCGCACCACGAAATACGCGCTCTCGATACGGCTAAGCAATTGAATCCTTACCGTAGTTGATAAACCCCCACACACAACCAAAAGACATTTAATTCAATTAATTACTAGATTTTGACCCGCGCAACCGCGCGGGTGTTTGTTTTCGTTTATAGTTATATAAACATTTTGTTTTCACTTGTAAATTGGTATATATTATAGTAATCACATATTTACGATATGTATAGTAAATGTTTTTCAAACATAATAATATTATATAATAAGTGTTTTAATCAAATAGATTGTTTCAAATTTTCTATATTAT